AGGAATTATTTTGGGGAAGTTCTAGGGCCCGTGTTATGGAGGAGATCAGACAGGATGAGCACAATGGTCCCTTCTGGCCTCGGTATCTATGGGTATGTCTACACTACGAAATTAGGTTGATTTAATAGAAGTCGATTTTTTAGAAATCGATATGATAGTTGATTGTGTGTGTCCCCACTAAGTGCATTAAGTTGGCGGTGTGCGTCCACAGTACCGAGGCTAGCGTCAACTTTCAGAGCGTGGTAGCTATCCCACAGTTCCCACAGTCTCTGCCGTCCATTGGAATTCTGGGTTGAGCTCCCAACGCCTGATGGGGCAAAAACATTGTCACGGGTGGTTCTGGGTACATGTCGTCAGGCCCCCCTCCCTCCCTCCGTGAAAGCAATGGCAAAAATCGTTTCTTGCCTTTTTTCCTGGGTTACCCGTGCAGATGACATACCACGACAAGCATGGAGCCCACTCAGCTCACTGTCACCGTATGTCTCCTGGGTGCTGCTGGCAGACGCGGTACTGCAGTGCTACACAGCAGCATCCTCTTGCCTTGCGGATGGCAGACGGTGCAATACGACTGCTAACCGTCGTCGTCATCCCATGAGTGCTCCTGGCCAGCCTCAGTTAGGTTGGTTGGGGGTGCCGGGGCAGACATGGGTGCTCCTGGCTGGCCTCGGTGAGGTCGGTTGGGGGCACCTGGACAAAAATGGGAATGACTCCAGGTCATTCTCTTCTTTAAGTTTCGTCTAAGAGATTCTGTCCTGCCTAGAATATCATGCTAGCTGGAGGCTTCTGCCTCAGGCTGCTCTCCCAGTCGGCAGCACCGCGCGGTCGCACCTACCCCAGCCTACCCCTTGCTCCCATGGCTCATGAAGCCTGGACAGTAGTAAGGAGCAGTTCAACTATAGGATGAGCAAGTGCAGAATGGTGGTAGAATGTGCCTTTGGACGTTTAAAAGCTCGCTGGTGCAGTTTACTGACTCGGTTAGACCTCAGTGAAACAAATATTCCCATCATTATTACTGCTTGCTGTGTGCTCCATAATATCTGTGAGAGTAAGGGGGAAGATGTTTATGGCGGGGTGGGAGGTTGAGGCAAATCGCCTGGCCGCTAATTAAGCGCAGCCAGAGACCAGGGCAGTTAGAGCACAGCAGGGCGCGCTGTGCATCAGAGAAGCTTTGAAAACCAGTTTCATGACTGGCCAGGCTATGGTGTGAAAGTTCTGTTTGTTTCTCCTTGATGAAAACTCGCCTCCTTGGTTCACTCTACTTCCCTGTAAACCAACCGCCCTCTCCTCACCCCTTTGATCTCCGCTTGCAGAGGCAATAAAATCATTGTTTCAAATTCATGCATTCTTTATTAATTCATCACACAAATGGGAGGATAACTGCCAAGGTAGCCCGGGAGGGGTGGGGGAGGAGGGAAACACAGGGCTGGGGTAGTTGTAGGGGCACCCCTTAGAATGGCATGCAGCTCATCATAGAAGCGGCATGTCTGGGGCTCTGACCCTGAGCGGCTGTTTGCCTCTCTGGTAGGCTTGCCTAAGCTCCTTAAGTTTCATGTGGCACTGCTGCGGGTCCCTGTTATAACCTCTGTCCTTCATGCCCTTGGAAATTTTTTCAAATATTCTGGCATTTCATCTTTTAGAATGGAGTTCGGATAGCACGGATTTGTCTCCCCATACAGCGATCAGATGCAGTACCTCCCATTCGGTCCATGCTGGAGCTCTTTTGTGATTCTGGAACTCCATGGTCACCTGTGCCGATGAGCTCTGCATGGTCACCTGTGCCGATGAGCTCGCCACGCTGGCCAAACAGGAAATGAAATTCAAAAGTTCCCAGGGCTCTTCCTGCCTACCTGGCCAGTGCATCTGAGTTGAGAGTGCTGTCCAGAGCGGTCACAATGGAGCACTCTGGGATAGCTCCCGGAGGCCAATACCGTCAAATTGCGTCCACACTACTCCAAATTCAACCCAGCAGGGTCGATTTTAGTGCTAATCCCCTCATTAGGGAGAAGTACAGAAATCGATTTTAAGAGCCATTTAAGTCGACAAAAATGGCTTAGTCATGTGGACAGGTACAGGGTTAAATCGATCTAACACTGCTAAATTCGACAAACTCGTAGTGTAGACCAGGGCTATGACAATGAAACCTTGTGTATACATTAATTCTCAAAGGCTCCTATGGGGTGTTGGTGTATATAATTCCCCCCCCCCCCACCACCACCACCACACAGCCTTCAGCATTGTAGAGTCCCATAACTCAGTAACAGTCACCTTTAATCATTTAGGTATCCTCACTGTGGCTGTTCTCCCATGCTGTATAATTTTGTTTGCTCTTATTTTTGTAGCACTACAGGCAAATAAAACAAGATCCTTGTTTTGTGGTGTTTAGTCTGAACAGAATCAAACTGAAACCAAAATGATAACTTTGGGGAAGGGAAGAAGAAGAGAGGGCAGAGAGAAAAGAGAATAAAAAATATGAACAATGAGTAGGGAAATACAATTCTTGGGTAGTTTTTCCTACACAGTGTATATTACAAGTTCACGTCTGGTTAGTTTATTACTGTTAACTATATAATGTTCATTAGAAATTGTACTTTTGATCTTCAATACCCCCTTCCTAATTTATTTGATTTTATAAGAGACTGTAATCTGCACTGTGCCTAGACATGTTTCGAGGTGTTGGAATTGAGAGGTGTTTAAATACCCTATATCCTTTCGAAAGGATACAAGTCATCATAATTTACTATTAGAATGGTACATGGGAATCTCAGTTCTCTATTTTATAGCTGTATAAACACTTTCAGAAAAAGTCGCATAGCATAGAAGCCTCAGCGAAGTTTCTTTCAGACTGAACTGCAGTTTGAACAAACAATGTTGTTGGAAACCAAGGACAATCCAAGAGGGGAAAATATGTTTAACTTCTATTTTAAAAAGTGCTGAAAGGTGCACGTCTGGGGGCAAATGCTGGATACCAGCCATCTGAAGAGGCGTTTTAACTCTCCCTATTCGACTACAGGATAAAACGCAACTGAAAGCATCAGGGAGAGAAGAATGAAAGACAGCAATAGGGTTTGCAGCCCTCTTTTCCTTCATGCCAATAACCAACAACCTCCCTCCAGCTGCATGTGCCACAGAAATGCTATATCAGCTCTGACAAGTGGGTGGTATACAACTTCCTTCAAGAACCTACTGCCACTCTAAAATCAGCCATCTAGGGCTAGACCCTGAAGTCCTTACAAGTAAAAACTTTTACCCTCTTCACTATAGTTTTTGTCTTAATAATGCAGGGGTTCCCAAACTGTGGTACTCATACCCCTGGGGGTATGCGAGACATTTTGGGGGGAGGGGTGGTATGAGGGAGAAATTATGGTGGCTTTTATTTATTACAGTAACTCCTCACTTTAAGTCATCCCAGTTACCGTTGTTTCGTTGCTGATCAATTAGGGAACATGCTCATTTAAAGTTGTGCAATGCTCTACTCTTACGTTGTTTGGCTGCCTGCTTTCTCCACAGCTGGCAGCCTCCCGCCCGCTGGCAGACTCCACGGATCAGCGCCCCCCCCCCCCCCCATGGCAATCAGCTGGCTTGCAGCGTTTCGGGGGCAGGAGGGAGAGGGGAGGAGCGAGGACTCAGCCTGCAGGCTCACCTTCCCTCCCCTGCCTCCTGAATGCTGCAAGCCAGCTGATTGCCCTGGGCAGGAGGCAGGGGGGGAGGAAGGGGGAGCCTGCGCACCGAGTCCTCGCTCCTCCCTCCTGCCCCCTAAACACTGCAAGCCAGCTGATTGCCCCAGGCAGGAGGGAGGAATGAGGACTCAGCCTGCAGGCTCCCCCTCCCTCCCCTGCCTCCTGCTGGTGGCAATCAGTTTAGAAGGGAGGGGGGAGGAGCAATGACACAGCATGGGAAGTAAAGGGGGAGGAGGTGGGAGGGAGAAGAGGCAGGTCAAGGATGGGGGTTTGGGAGATGGGGGGGAGTGGGTGGGCCGAGGGTTGAGCCCCTCCCCCCCCCGCTGCTTGCAGAGTAGGGGAAGCTGCCGCTGCTGCGCAATGTGCTTCTCCTAGCCTACAGCACCTTCAGCCTCATCTCCAGTGCCAGTGGGCTGTGCCTGTGTGGGGTAAGGGGGGGCACCTCCCAACTATAGTACCATACTGTATGTACAGCATGTTTGTAAACACATAGCACGTGCACACGACTCCCCCCCAGCGTAGTATTAAATTGCTTGTTTAAAATGTATATAATTCCTTTTGTCTGGCAAAAAAAAAATTCCCTGGAACCTAACCCCCCCATTTACATTAATTCTTATGGGGAAATTGGATTCGCTTAATATCGTTTCACTTAAAGTTGCATTTTTCAGGAACATAACTACAACGTTAAGTGAGGAGTTACTGTACTTACTTTCTGTATTGCATTTTCATAATAGTCTACTCAAACGAACTTTACAGCTGTGCGGGAACTTGTTCTCTAAAATACAGTAGTTAATTTACTTCAAGACATAGCAATGAGAACACTGATACACAGAGCACTGACGTACAGAGCCCTCACCTCCAATCATTGTACAGTGCGGGTTCAGTTGCCCAGCAACTGTCAAGCCTAATTGAACTCAGAACTCTGTCAGGGTCCCCTCCCACCCCCAGTTGTATAGGTCACACTATAACTATATCTGTACATAACAGTGAAATATGGACAGATGGCTAAAGACAGGTAGCGTTAAGAAGAACACACAATATCAGTGATGAAAAGGGTAGGGATATGCAGGCACCTCATAGCTCTGGAGGGGGTATGCAATAAGAAAATTTTGGGAACCTCTGCCCTAAAGGGTGCTGAAGGCAGACATAAAAGAGAATTAAGTCCAGAATCTTATCCACTAAGCCACTGGACAGTTATCTATTACATACAAATCAATATAATTGGGAAATGAACACATTCAGCTCAGTTTCACAAATATTCAGTTACAATAAGTCATTTAATATAACTTCAACTGGACAATAAATACGATAATTTCCAGGAGATCAGAATTCAGTTGTTTAATTTAACTATTTAGAAAGTTAAACAATGGAAGATTTCACAACAATTTTTATTTACATGATTTACTGTGAATATTTTAAATACCAGCTTGTGAAGCTACACAAGGACGTACCTCTAAACGGACATACCAGAATACTGCCAAAACATTTCTTTGTCCTGGAAGCACTGCATTTTTAACAATTCAAACCTTTCAGGTTAAAGTTGGATGGTATAACTGTAATTAATGAAGCTACTTCCAAAGACTCTATATTTTACTGACTAGTCACTGCTGAGTGAAACATTTTGAAGTACAGCTCACCTGGTACAAACAGCCTTTTAAATTAATGACTCTGCTTAAAGCATTAGGAAGCCACTCAGTGACAACAGATCCATTTGTAGTAGTAAGTCATTTATAGATCTGAGAGTCCAGGCTGCTGCATACTGTTCTACCCTCTGAATATAAATGGCAAAAAAATAAGTTTCTATCAGATACGATCACTTTCAATGCTGTAAATCCTGATAACAAAAAGTACAGACATTGCACCTCAAGCCATCATTAATGAAGAAAGTGGCACTTCTCTTTTTTGGGCAAGTGAACCTGGTTTTCTTCATTTTCATTCTCAAGACATTCCATATAATACTACTACTTAAAAGCATTTAAGAGTCATGAAATTAACTTCAAGAGAAAGAATGTTAATGTTAAACAGAGCACCAACTTATTCCATATATTTATTCATTAGTGAAAGTTTATGAAAAACAATGTTTAAACATTAGTTCTGCTGATAGCTGTCATAGTTGTAATTTAAAAATAAAAGTTGAATTCGTAAAGTTTGATCAAAGCTATGGTTCAAAGAGCAAAATTTTATACATTCTGTGCAACATCCCATTTCCTTCTAGTGCATAAGTCCATGTCTGCAGTTACGCAGCTGCGATAGAAGTATCATCAGCTTGTCGACCTTGTGGCTTTAAAGAAAAAGAAGAGTCAGTATAAAGATTATATATAGTTATGAAATTCATCTAGCAACATTATCATAAATGAACAGGATGTTACAATGTCTAATCAGTGCTGTATCTTTCCTAGCTTCAAAGTATTTCTAATGGCAGCACAAAAAAATATTGTGATGTTATCTACATTCAAGTCTTCTAACTCTCCCAACTGCCTCCATAAGCTCTTCAGGGCAGGAGCCATATCTTTATATATGTTTGTATAGCACCTAGCATAGGGCCTGACCTTGATTGGACTTTCTGGGTACTACTGCAATACAAATGTTATATTGATAATGATGCTGATGATAAATACATGCGTGAAGCAGGAACTGCCCCAGAAGGTTCTAGGATAAATTTGAAGTGGGGTCCCTTGGGAAAAGGAATATTTTAAGAGGAAAAGCATGGATGTGCACAGGAGCATACAAGAACAAACATTGGGATTCTGATGACCCCAAAGAAGAGAAGAAAGGAATTAACAACCTAGGGAGGTTCTCTTGTAAATGCTCAGAACTCCTTTCCCTGGGGGGAGCAGACCTTTGTGTTGACCTAACAGCAAGTCTTGATGACTGATCTAGGAGAGACATTGATTGACAGGGTGTATAAATAATAAATTCCACCCAGCCCTCTTAGCTGCAGTAAAATTGGAGGAATGCAAAGACTGTTTGCAGGGAACAGAGAGAGGATTATAGATGTTCGAACAAGCCTTTCTCAAAAGACACAAAGGAACACTTCAGGCCTCTCTCACTCAACCTTTCCTATTGGAGCATAAGCAGTAACACAAGATTCTGTAAAGGAAAGACTCAAGGCTAGCTAGCTAGCACTGTTTTGGGTAAAAGGCTTTAAAATAAGTGGGAAAGGGCCAGAAAGATTGCATGAAACCTGTTTGGCATGATGGGATGAAATGCAATTTTCAATCATAAGGTTTTCATAATATCTGAGTAGCTGCAACATTGTAGAAAAAGTCTAGTATAATAAATTTCATTTGCGCTTAGATCTTTTATCTCTAATAGTAACTTAGATTCAGAAATATTCTGGAACCCCACAAAACCCATCACATGATGAACACTCACACTTCACTTTCTGCAATCAATTCTCACTTGAGTAATATAAAATATAAGATGGGGTGGCAGATAATAAATGAAAACTTGGAAATATTCTAACCAAATGCAGTTCCACCAATACTCAAATGCAGACAGAATTTTAACTGAAGCTTTAAATTGAATGACTATTATCCTTCTAGTCACAAGATATTATCCAAATGTTCTGAAAATGGATAACATCCTGTGACCAGGAGGATAACAGTAATTCAGTAAAGTAACTCTGGATGGTTTTAAGAGCAAAGTGCCTGTTGCTCATATAGAGCCCAGTCCAGCACTGTGTAGTGCCTGAGCAGATTGCTGCACCCACACAGAGCCCCAGTGAAGTCCATGGTCTCCATGTACACACAGCATTGTGCCTGTGCAGCTTAAAGCAAGACAAGCCTGCTCTCTAGTTAACTGTCCATTCAGTTAATCTGCTAAGAGTAGAGCTGGGGTTGCAGTTCTCAAAAGCAAAATAAATCCCAAGTAAATTCTGAAAGAATTCATTCGTTATAAAGAGGCCAAAAGCCTCCATTAGAACTTTACCTTTACAAAAATGTGCGTTGGTATGAATCGTCTGAGCAACTGATTAGTGAAGTTTGGAATCCGCAGCAAGATGATATTAAGAGATGGTAACTGCTGATATCCAGCCATGAGAGGGTAGAAGTTGTATAACATTTCCTGCTGCGTGCCAGGAAGGATTCGCAATCGTATCTAAAATCATAAATAATTCCAGGAAAGAAAACTGTTTACTTATATTAAACATTTGCACACTCCAAAGTTAAAAATAATTCTCTTAAATATTCTCTTTAATCGGTTTGACTAAATATTCAAAATATTACAACTCTTCCTCTTTTCTACCCAACTGCACACACTGTATCATATGATCAATATGAATTTCCTCAGCCTATCCAGAAAGTCATAACTAGACACTCCTAAGAGGACTTATTTTCAGTCCTAAGATTAAAAAAAAAAGCTTTGGACGTGCATGTTCCTCCAGATATATTGCTCATTCTTCAGTTCACCATGTCTTAAGGATGAGTATTTACTAAATAACTCTAGGGTAATTTGATCGGACTATAGCAGAGTTGATAGTAAGCTAATAGGCTATCACAAGGTAATATTTGAGAGTCTACCATTCACTTAGGGTAGCCCATATTTGTTACAGTGTATTGTGTTTCTCTCTGTGATTCAAAGTGAGAGAAAAAAAAAAGATGTAAATTTCACAAGCCTTGTTTTGGTAGACAGAAATTTAACTGAGCTGGGAGTCAGATTTGTTCTGAATACAGTTACAATTAATTTATTTGTTTTTAATATTTCTTTTCCTATTTTACAGTAAAGTTACATTAAAAACAACATTTAATTTTAAAATACCATTTATATAATCTAAAGCAGTGGTTTTCAACATGTGGTCCGTGGACTGTGGGGGCTCTGCAGACTATATCTAAGGGGTCTGCAAAAGGTTGTTGTTACCATAGAAGAGTGGTTTCCAAAACTTGGGGTCCAAAGACTATGTCTAAGATTTCCAAAGGGATCCACACCTCCATTAGAATTTTTTTTTAGGGGTCCACAGCCACTAATCTAAAGAGTATGTTGAAGTCTATTAGAATAGTTTAACAGTGGTGTAAAAAGTATCATCATGCAGTAGTGACAAAGAGGACAATCTGTACCTGTTTAAGACCAGAAAACATGAAGGCATCGCTTGGCTCCACTGATATTTCCACATCCTGGACTAAACTGGTCTTGTTTTGCAGGTGATATCTGACAGGTAAGGATTCTCTTACTCGACCAAATGATGGCAGATCTTTGGAGACAAAGGGATTGAATATAAAGGTTACATATCAGGTTATGTAAATACATGTCTTGGTTTCACGTACAAAAACCAAGTCTCACTCAATAAAAGTAGAAAGGTTTGCAAAAAGTGGCACAAAACTCATTATCTATAGTACATCTGATCAGATGTTTCAGGAACAAATCATGAAACTATGTTGTAAGTTTTCAAATTTAACAGAATCAGCTCTAACATTAGAAAGCATTGAAAGATATCAGAAATTACTGTTACAAGACTAGTTCTATGTATCACAATATTACTTATCTGCACTAATTGAGGGGGCGAAGAAGCAGTACAAGCATGGATTAGAATGACTAGAGAACGGGCAGGTACTGCATGGGCAGGGCTTTCCCCTCCAGCCCTGTTCTTACAGGAGAAATATGGTCATCCCAGGTCTGTGGCAATAAGGACAAACATGTGCCTACAGACCAAATTCTGCTCTGAGACATACTTATGGGGTTTCACAGCCTTGAGTGAACACTCCATGCATGCAGCCCAGGGCTAAATATTTCATGCATGTTAATATTACCTGCATTAACATGGAGTGGGATGCTCTCTACAATCACATGTGGTAGAGTGATCACAGTACAAACAACAGGTACACTTTCCACAGCTGAATTCCTATCAAAGAAAACAACACATGTAGACTGCATTTATATTCTTGACTACGCCAACAGAATATTGGGATCAAGCAGCAAACAAGCAATATTTACAGCAATCCCAACAGTTCAAAAAGGAGAGAAGTGTTATATGAATGTTTTTATTACAATAATCTTGTAAAAACATGTTAAAATCTAGAGAAGACAGATGTACTTTACAATGTCTGCTCTAAAAACAAACCCACATACAGAAACCTGTGATTGAGATGGAAAAAATATTAGGTTCATTTATTTTTTTTTGGTTTGACCATTTAAAACAGTACTTTTTATACAGCTGAAGTGTTCTTTAACTTGTCTTTCTTCCTCCCCTCCCCACATGTGAAGTACTCTTTGGCTTTAGAAAACTTAAGAATTAGTGTAGGAGATCACACAGTTGAAAACTTAATAAAAATGTAAATATCACCATTTGGATGCAATTTCAGCAGTACGCACATTTTAAAAAATGGTTCCTACCGCTTTCACCCAAGACGATTCCACTGTGAGGATTAGTAAGGGAAGAAGAAAAAGCAAAATATATCCTCCCGACCACCCAGACCCTAAGAAAAGTCATGAAGTGCTTTAAAAACCAGACAAGGAATCCCTACCTCTTCCAGGAGATTACATAACGTCCGGTAGCCACTCCACCTTGAACATTAGTAACTGATGGACACCGAAGGCAAAAGCATTCACTAGCACTCTCGCCTGTCTGCAAAACAACTATCAGCAATATTTTGTTTAATTTTAAAGTAAAAGACACACTGAATATTAGAACAGAAACCATCCAGATCTAAAAAACTAAAGTTAGTAATACATACAGATATTTAAATTTTAGGAATAAAGGTGTTGTATATATGCAATATATACAGTCTGAGAGATCCCCAATTAATTCACAAACTGTACACGAAAACGTTAGAGATAATGAGGTGCTCAGTCAGCACAGTAACGGGGCCTGTCACATGGTCCCTGGGCCCTGTGAGTAGAGCTGGGCCCAGTGCCCCTGTGTAGAGCAAGTGAGCCCAATCCAGCCAATTAAAAGGGGCTGGGTTACACCTGGACCTATGAAGGGCAGGAAATGAGAGGGGGAGGAAAGAGTGACGGAGACAAGCTGTGCCTGGAAAAGGGAAGCCACAGTGGAGTGGAGGTAACTCCGGTGGTGGGTCCCTGGTGCAAGAGGCCAGGTGTTCTGGGAAGCTCCAGGAAGGGAGCAGAGCTAACTAAAGCCTGGTCTATTCTACAAACTTAGGATGAGGTAAGCTGCCTTGCATCAACCTAGTTGTGCAAGTGTCTACACTTAAATTTGTCTCCCACTGAGGTAAGTGGCCTCTTATGCCAACATAGTAACACAACCTCCCCGAGCAGCATTGTGCCAAGGTTAATGTACAGAGGTCAACGCAGCACACCGACACTGCATTACCTATGTCGACCCTAACAGTCCTCCAGCAGCTTTCCCACCATGCCCCACGCTGACTGCTTTGTCACCATTGTGAACTCTACTGCCCAAGAAACATCCAACCCGTGGAAAGGTTTCCCCCTTGGCTTCACAAATATTATGCAGGACATAGCAGGCGGCTATTACGATTGGGATATTTTTCTCCCTGAGGCCCAACCATAGAAAAGTAGCCCTGTATATTGATATATTCTGTGGCAAGGTAATTTTGTGCCAAAATAGGGATATGCATGCCATCTATTGCTCCACCGCAGTTTGTGAACCCAACTGCTGCAAATCTATCCACTATGTCCTTTACATTGCTGAGGATCACAGTCCCATGTAGGAGGTGATTACTGGCCCTGCACACTTGCATGACAGTGGCACCCACAGTGGATTTCCCGACTCCAAATTGCTACTGGTCAGTCTAGAATCAGTTTGGTGTTTCAAGTTTCCACAGTGCAAAATCACCACTCGCTTCTCCACTGTCAGCACAGCTCTTATTTTCGGTCCCTGCACTGGAGGGGTGGGGCAAGCTCAGCCCATAGATCCACGAATGTTGCCGTAAGCATCCGAAAGTTCTGCAGCCATTGCTCATCATCCCAAGCCTGCATGACGATGCAATCTCACTAGTCAGTGCTTGTTTCTGAGGCCCAGAAGTGGCATTTCATTATCTGCAGCTTCTCTGTGAATGCCACCAACAACCTTGAGTTGGTTCTTGCTATGTCCTACAGCAATCTGTCCTACAAGAAATCATTATGTTCCCCACTGATTCAGTTCTTCTTGCAGCTCTGCAAATACTGCAGGATCACGTGCCCTGTGTTTCAATGCTCATGACAATAGTGAAGAGCTGTGCAAGCTCCATGCTTCTGTTAGCAATAGAGAGCGAGGAGGGCCCGACGGGTTTGTGGGATTTTGAAAAGAAAAAAAAAAAAAAAAAAAAAAAACAAAAAAAATATGGGATAAAGATGACAATAGGGGGATGGAGACAGTTGCAAACTGGGAATTTGACCCCATGCTCCCAGTCTCCCCAGTGCAACTCCTTTCTGCCCCACCATGCATTGAGAAGACTTCCCAAAAGACTGCGTGCTAGAGGGTTGCGGGTTGCATACTGGGATACCTATCCATGATGCACCACACTGTGCATTGATACAAGAACACCTGGTGAGTACACGCACCGCTGACACAACAAGCCAAGCATACATACACACAAGCAACACACTAACTGCAGGAGCTTTATACTGACGTAACTTGTGTCAACATAAGTTTGTAGTACAGACATGGCCTAAGATTGGGAAGCTGCCAGGAGCACCAGAAGTCCCTGGGATGAGTGACCCTGAAGTTTGAAGCAAAGGAGTGAGTAAAAAGACTGTTTTGTTTGTTTTAAGAAAATAAACCATCTTAAAGGAGACTGGGCATGGCAGTATGTGCTTGGAAGCTGGGGAGAAGCCCTGCCCTGTGACAGGGCCATAGAAATATGATGATTTGACAGATGATAGAGAACCTTCTGAACAGAACCATGGAATATCTAATATCCACACAGAACAGACAGAATCTCCAAGTCACATTCAAAAGAGTAAACTGCACAGTACAGCTGATTCAGACTCAGGAATTCCCTTCTGTTGTAAATTCCAAAAATTTGAAATGTTTTTGTTCGGTTTCAGAACCTAAAGTAAAAATTTTGACATTTGCTGCAGAAAGTAAATTGTTTTGGAAAAAAAAAAAAAACCAAATCAGTTTGTTTTGGAAGTTTCTAACCAAACTAAAAAAAAAACTGGCTTTTTCATATGTTATTTTTAAACCCTTTTAAAAAATTTAGTTCAGTTTTATTTTTAAAATTATTAACAGCTGCTGCTATTTAGAGCGCTTATTGTATTTTCTTGTTCAAAGACAGACATCGTTCGGGGGTACTAAAAACTGCAGCTACTTAGAGTATATAATTTTAAAATAAAATAAAAAGCCACAGGAGCCAGGGCTGCCAGGGAAGCTGGCTCCCTGAACTACCTTGGGAGCCAGAGAGCCCAGGAAAGGGAGCCACTGCTCTCCAGCAGCCAGCCAAGTGGGCTGTGCAGAGAGCCTAGGAAACTAGTTGGCAGGTGGGCTGCCATGCCAGCCTGGCTTCTGGTGAAAGTTTCAACAGAACTGGCACGTTCTTGTGGAACACATCGATTCCATGAAATCAACCAACCAACCAAAAACTGCAGTCAAAGTTTTTGACTGCTCTACTGCGCAGTCCTCAATTTATCTATCTCAGAAGGATGGAGAACATTATTGTTTAACTACAAGATATTCTAACTAATAAGGCAGTATTCAATACAGGATGGAGAAACTTCTTGCATGTTCTTCTAAGGCTAGTCAGAATAGATTCACACACTATTTCATGTCTGTGTGTGTCCTATGTATGGACTTGTTTAAATTTCATTCTATAGAGATACAGTATGCACATTTCAAAAGGCATATGTAGTACATGAAAGCCAAAAATTGTCAAATGCCTTTTCTCATGAATGGCTGATTAAGAGGCTGTTCTCTCTGGTGCTTGAGATATGATTTTTAGGATTTTGGTTACTGACCTTTTATTTCCATTTTACTAAAATTTAGAGAGGGGAAAGAAGTTTATTTGGATTTTTTTGGTAGATATTTTTAGCTCATTTTAAAAGAAGCCTATTTAGTTCATGCCTGAGATATTCAACAGAACCAGACACAGTTCTTTCTCTCTCTTTGTAAATAGCTCCTGAACACATAAAGAGCGTTGGTCACAGTCAATTCATTTGGCTCATGTAACGAGAATGACAGCTGTACAAAACTTGAGGGTGGCTCCATATAGCAATACTCATCTGTGAAGAAACTGCTTTATATTTCCCATATTAATGTTACCTTTCAACAAATAATGTTTTTTAAAAGATTATTAAGAAATTGCCAGCAGTTTTAGAGACTTCCATATAAAATTTTAGAATTTATATAGTAGTGAGAAGTCAGTCACCACAACCACTTTCAGAAAGCTGTGCTAAGCAAAATTCTACCTAACTCAATCACACTCTGTATTGGTCTCTATTCCAATTCAGATTTGCCACTGTCTAAATTAGATTTTTCCACGCTTCTCCATGCCAAATAACCAGGAACAGCTGAACAGGGTACAAACAAAGTTTCACCTTTAACTTTAATTTTTTTCCCCTTTGTGAGTTCAGCTCAAAGTACTAACATTACTTCAAATAATTTAGAGAAACTCCAAATGAATTTGTCAATAAGGTATTAAAATGTATTTCTTCCCAATTCCCACTCCATTCTCCTCAAAAAAATCTTATTTAAGAAGCAATAATAATCTAAATTCTCACCATTCTCCACATAAGATTCCAGTTGGTCTACTGGTACCATGGAAGCTGAAAGTTGTAGCTGGCTAGTTATAATAGTGAGAGCCCAAGGTGAAGCACTCAGAATGTCTGTCATCAGTAAAAAGGGTATGTCTGCAAAGACTCTGTCTAAGTGTTCAAACTACCAAGAGAAGAGACAAAGAATGCATCAATATTTTAGTGGTCACGTTTGGTTTACTCAGATTTTTATGATTCTAAGACATGTCAATCAATTTTCAAAAACACATACCTTTGAAGAAACAAATTTAACAGCAACATCAAAGGGCAATACAGTTTCTATAGTTACAGTTTCATCCTGCATGGAGGGGGAAAATATTGTATTAAATTTCAAATCTAGATATTGACATCAGGTTACAGGGGACTGAATTCATCACCACCTGCCCCAGCCCTCTCCAGGGCATCATCTGCTTTGGCCCTCCACTGAACGATGGGCAGACTGTGGGCATCATTGAAATTAGGCTCATTCTTAAAATCATACACAAAGTAATCCAAATCCCTTAATCATTTCATATATAAACTAACATGAATTGAAGAGTCATTCCAAACTGCTGAACTCAACAGATCATACCCTGTGACACCTGCAGATTATCTCTTTGTCTTCAACAGTGGCACTGATTAAATAGGAAACATAGACCAGAAACATCCTGGTACCAACTGTTCCACAACGAATGTATACTGCTTTTTCCAGCTGTAAAATATAAAGGTGAAAGTAATTAAATAGTACTCAAAATGCAACCAGCAAGTCCAAAGCTGCCCTTTCATTCATTTAGTGTACCTCAGTTAACACAGACTAGGGGAACCACAATGGACAACAATTGCTTGTCTTCAGCACTGGCGACTGGCAGCATAAAGTGTGACACCAATACAAGAGTAGCAAAGCTCTGGCCATTCTACTAGATGTTCTCCTGCTATTTACACTAGTAGACTGGAGCCATTACTAGGTGTCACTTGCTGTAACAAGCCTATGATTTACTAGCTATTACAAACTACAGCTGTCAATTAATTGCAGTTAACTCATGTGATTAACTCAAAAAAATTAATCGTGATTAATCGCAGTTTTAATTGTACTGTTAAACAATAGAATACCAATTGAAATTTATTAAATATTTTTGGATGTTTTTCTACATTTTCATATATACTGTATTCTGTGTTGTAATTGAAATCAAAGTGTACATTAGTTTTTATTACAAATATTTGCACTGTAAAAGTGATAAACAAAATAGTGTTTTTCAATTCACCTTATACAAGTACTGTAGTGCAATCTCTTTGTCCTGAAAATGCAACTTACAAATGTAGAATTTTTTGTTACATAACTGCACTCAAAACAAAACAATGTAAAACTTCAGAGCCTACAAGTTCACTCAGTCCTACTTCTTGTTCAGCCAATCGCTAAGACAAACAAGTTTGTTTACATTTACAGGAGATAATGCTGCCCGCTTATTATTTACAACCTCACCAGAAAGTGAGAACAGGCATTTGCAAGGCACTTTTGTAGCCGGCATTGCAAGGTATTTACGCGCCAGATATGTTAAGCATTCATATGCTCCTTCATGCTTCGGCCACCATTCCAGAGCACATCCTTCCATGCTGATGATGCTCATTAAAAAATAATGCGTTTATTAAATTTGTGACTGAACTCCTTAGGGGAGAATTTTATGTCCCCTGGTCTGTTTTACCCACATTCTGACATATATTTCATGTTATAGCAGTCTCGGATGATGACCCAGCACATGTTGTTTGTTTTAAGAACACTTTCACAGCAGATTTGACAAAACACAAAGAAGGTTCCAATATCAGATTTTTAAAGATAGCTACAGCACTCGACGCAAGGTTTAAGAATCTGAAGTGCCTTCCAAAATCTGAGAGGGATGAGGTGTGGAGAACGCTTTCAGAAGTCTTAGAAGAGTAACACTCCAATGCGGAAACTACAGAACCCGAACCACCAAAAAAGAAAATCAACCTTCTGCTGGTGGCATCTGACTCAGATAATGAAAATGAACATGCGTCAGTACGCACTGCTTTGGATCGTTATCGAGCAGAACCTGTAAGCAGCATGGACGCACGTCCCCTGGAATGGTGATTGAAGCATGAAGGGACATATGAATCTTTAGTGCATCTGGCACGTAAATATCTTGCAACGCCGGCTACAACAGTGCCATGAGAACGCCTTTTTTCACTTTCAGGTGACATTGTAATGAAGTGGGCAGCAGTATCTCCTGCAAATGTAAAGAAACTAGTTTGTCTGAGCGATTGGCTGAACAAAAAGTAGGACTGAGTGGACTTGCAGGCTCTTAAAATTTTCATTGTTTTATTTTTTAATGCAGGTGTTTTTTAGTACATAATTCTACATTTGTAAGTTCAACTTTCATGATAAAGAGATTGCACTACAGTACTTGTATTAGGTGAATTGAAAAATACTATTTGGTTTTTTTTTTTATAGTGCAAATACTTGTAATCAAAAATAAATAAAAAGTGAGCACTGTACACGTTGTATTGTGTTGATTTCAATTACAATTTATTTGAAAATGTAGAAAACATCTAAAAATATTTAAATGATATTCTATTATTTGTTTAATCGCTCAATTAATTGCGATTAATTTTTTTAATCGCTTGACAGCCCTAGTTCAAACCGCGTGAGTTTTACAGTATTGCTCTGTGGAGAAGATGTAGGAAGACAATTACCCTTAGTAGCAGACATTAACTGCTGTCCATTTCATGAACCCAATCCTTCTCCCTTCCTACCATCACCACCATTTAAAAAAAAAAAAAAAAATTAGTATGTGTCACTCAACTCTGCATTCTTATAAGATTTAGCACTTAGGCTGTTAAATTATCAGTACAGCCTACAAAGCTTCCAGTGTGCACTTATGGAAAATAGTGTGATTCTTTAATATTTGCCATCTCCTAAATGATATGTAGCACATCAAATTCAACCCACAACCAGAAGAACTAGTGCATCCTGAACTCATTCTCCTCTTTCAAAATGGGGAATGAAAATTGAGCATTTCCTTTATCCCCTTCCTTCTCTTTAGCTTTATATCACAATATGAAATCCCTCTAATGTCCACTCTGTGCCAACCACCTTAACAATTCTGTGAGACTCTTCAGCACGCTCAGGTACTTAAACTTAACACTAAGGCAGTAATAAAAAAATCTTCTGTCTGTCAAATACACAGTTGAGAGAACTTTGTGTTAAAGGATTCACAGTTCAGATCAGCCTCCTTGGATTATATTAATTAGATCTCATCACTCTTAGTATCACACACAGCCCCCAACCCCATTCCATTGAACTAGCCCATAGAACTAAAATGTAAGGAAGTCAAAGGCTCATCCCTTGAATAAAACAACTGCTGCATTAGACAGAAGCCCAGATACTAGGCATCATCTGAAACTAAATTGTGGTCCTGATATCTGTATGAAAGTGTTTTTACTAGCCAATGTTCATTTTCAGTTTAGCTATTAAACATTTTCCTAATTGGAGTGGGGGCAGTAATTAAATTCACCTTTTCTCCTGGCTGTAAATCTCCTACAGGGATATCAGGAAGTAACGCAGGATAAGAATCATCACAGATTTCTGTTCCATTAAGGGTCACATGAGTTTTCTGAGTCAGATTGGCATCTTGCCCTAGAATACAAATATACTGTTTTTATACCCACATAATTATTCTGTTAATTTATATGTTGTTTATCACCGTGGCAAGCGGGCACTATTTATGCATATTAAGGTATGCATCACAAAAAACAACCACCACTGCTACCAGACATATACCTCAAACAAATGAGCAACAACAGCAAGACACAAAACTACAACATGGATGCATCACAGAAGAATTTTTTTTTGTACACAGATTGATGGCCTTTCAGCAACCTATGCCAATGGGTGAAGGGGGTTGGTGGGAAATGTACAATTCATAGTCATAGGGGTCAAATTGTGAACAAGATATCCTTTATTTATTTTAAATGAACAAGGTCTTCCATACTTTAAAACACTGAACATATGTAAGACCCAATTTGTAAAAATTCATGGGAATCTTGCTCAATTATGGGTTGACTGGGTTTACAAAGACCATGACTTGTTATGAAAAAAATCTCAGAAGTCACATCCTGTCACACGTCATGGATGCCTTGTCACATGGAAAACAGTCTTTCCTATAACAGAAGTGTTAAATTTTGATGGTTCTTTTTAAGTAATCAGCAAGCCCATAATGACCTCGTGTATCAAATTTTCAGACTCTGAGTAAGGGGGAAACATAGATATGGTGTCAGACACTCCATTATGAATCTGATCGAAAAACTTCAATGAAGTTGATCAGTGGGAAGGCTCCCATTTCTACGGCCTTTGGATTAGACTCTGCATGATCATGTATTATAATATATAGACAAATGCATTTTAGCAGTTATCCATACAAAGCAAAGTGTATTTCTCAACTACTACTGTCATCAAGAATTAAAAATCCAAACTAACAGCATGTAACTATGTGAAGCTACCTGGAATGTAACTTTTACCCTGTCCCATAATTTCAAATGGGACAGGATTGGTCCCATGTTGTCCAACAGAAAAATAACAGTGTATTTGAAACATTACTTTTAAATCTAATTCTGTAACTGAAACTTGCTAGCAGCTCAGCTAGAAAAATCTACCATCTGTTTGTTGTCAAAAGTAACTTTACAGTATTGTTAGATCATGAGAAAATTCTCTTTTAAATCCCTCCTTAAAACCTGACTTTTTTGTTGATGCCCACAAAACACTACTGTCTAGTATTGGTTAAGCTGGCAACCACCTGCGAATGAGACCTTTGTTACCACTCATTTCTTCATACACCTCTGTTTCCACTATAGTCCTGTCCACCTCTTAACCCCCATCCTGTTTAGCTGTTAATTGACCTATCATGATTTGTGTAAATCCTAGATTTAGAGTGTGTGCTCTCTGTGGCTCTGTGTTAACTCTTTGTACAATAACTAGGACAACAGAACCCTTAAGATACTACCATGGCAGAAATGAATACCTGGTTTTAAACCTGCCGTGAGCTTCACATCTCTGGCAACTGTCTTCTCATGTGACTGGACTGTCACAATCAAACAATACATTTCATTAGTCAGGGCAGGAGGTTCATGCTGGAGTTGAACAGAAATATTTGGCACTCTAGAAATGATCCTTTAATCAAAAAAAGAAAAAAACTGGTTAGTTACTCCACATTTCTTCGATGGCTCAATTTTTAGTCCATTTTAGTTAGGGTTAAAGTTGCCTATTGCTCAAATGAGAACTCCAGGGGAGATATATCCTGTTTCACTAGTCTCTGAAATGCCTGAAAATCAGTGGCACAGAACACTGGCACAGATCCTATTAAAAATGACTGGGGGCCCAGTAAGAGTTGGGAGCTCACATTTCTGTAACCAGAGATACAGAATCCCACATTAAACAGCGAATGTTCTGAAAGTGAGGATTTAATTCTTCTGAAAATGTCCAGTTAGTATTAAAGTTAGTAAATAGAATAAAAACTATTTCCTTGTATAGCATTTTCAGGCCTCTTTGTGTACTTATATACTGCTGTAAATAACTCTTCCTTGTTTGTTTTACCTGGAAAAACAATTGGACAGGATGAATAAAAGGGGACTAAAGCCTGTTTGGTCTATCTTTGGGCCATGTCAAATGAGATACTGAGATCAACCTCTTCCATAAGCTCTAGCTCTGTTCTTTAACAAAAAATAATAATAATAAAATAATAATAATAATGATGAAGATTACTGACTGGGGGCTGGGAAGTAGGTAAGTCAGAAAATAAATCCTTAAGAGCTACTTATTTTTGTTTTTATTTATTTTACAAAGATCCAATACATATGGAAGATATTTTTGATGTTCACCATTACACATTTTAAACGTTTACCTACATAGTGTTTGCCTGAATAGTCAGGCTGTCCCAATGGACCTCATTATCTGGAAGTTTAGGTTGCCGTTTGAAGGAGCGAACTGCCTGCAATGCTTCTTGAGATGAAGCAGCATCTCCTCCTCCTCCACGCCAATTCAGAATCACGCATCTGCCAGTTTCGGTGCCCAGGATTAAATCCACAGAGGTGATCTGAAACATGTTTATTCAGATACAACTTTTTCCCCCCCCTCCTCCAGTCATTTTGCAGTACACACACACACACACACACTTTATATATAACATAAATACATACACCTAAAACTGCTTGCAGCACAGGAGATTAAAATCTCAACACACTGGCTCTACAGTCCAGGCAGTTTCACTTAAGCAACTGTGGCAGTATGGGGATGCATGTGTGCAGACATATATTTCTGTGCACGCACACACACACACACTCTCTCTCTCTCTCTCTCCCCCTCCCTCCTTTAATATGAAGCTCTTGGTATTTTTCAATCCCTCCTGTCCATTTTTCTACTCAGTTTTTTGAAGTGGATGCCAATCTTGTAATGCTATTTACAAAACAAATTATATTTAAATATACACAATACGGTGACATTACTAACTAGTAAAGAATTGCAGTCAACCTTGCAATTTTGAGCTTGAAGAGCCAAACCTGTGAATCTAGATAACTAACCTCAACCTTCTTTCCCACATCTTCACTTTTTGCAACAAATTTGAAAGTGAACTTTCTTGTTTTACCAGGGACTAGGCACACTGGTCCCTGGGATGAATATTCCAGAATGTCACTTTTCTGATATGCTTCTTCTACCACACAGTACTGATTGTATTCCTATAGCAAGTGAGAAAAAAATAAGTTATCCTATTGCTGAGAATATATTATCTATATAATGAATGTTGACAATCTGTGTTACTGGACTAAAGTTGAAATCCTGTTAGAACTCTCTGCTTGTCATACCAGTGAACAATTAGTGTTATGGATCATAAACCTAATGTATTTAGGCAACTGATAGATACAAGTTTATTTAGGATAAAAAGTTTCCTCTAACAAGTAGTCTCAATAGTACTGCATAATTGCACTTTGCAGTAATTAAAGTGCAATTATCCTTGTTAATGTAACATATAGTAAGTCTTATTTGTAATTCTAGATGATTTTAAATATAATGTTTAATTTCAAAAAGTAACAGAGTCCTGTGGCACCTTTAAGACTAACAGATGTATTGGAACATAAGCTTTCGTGGGTGAATACCCACTTTGTCAGACACATGTCAACCTTGTCTTGCGTCTGACGAAGTGGGCATTCACCTGTGAAAGCTTATGCTCCAATACATCTGTTAGTCTTAAAGGTGCCACAGGACTCTCTGTTGCTTTTTTACAGATCCAGACTAACACGGCTACCCCTCTGATACTTAACTTCAGAAGTGTTGTTTTATGAGTACCACAAGTAGACAAAAAGCTGTATTGTTGTCTCTACTAAATCACCGATGTTTTTATTAAATCAGTATAGTCCTCAGTAGAAGAGTGACAGAGAAGAAAACACTTTAACAGAAAAATAAAGGTAAAAGTGTCCCTTTTTCAATAAATTGGAAAAAGTATAATGAAGCTGCAAGGTTATAATAAGACCCATTACGAGAAATTAACCTTCCCCTAACAGATGATCACACATATAAAACATAGTTACCTGGTTATTGAAGCCGACACATAGTTTAGAAAACCTGATTGGATGAGGACAATCAGCTTTCAAGTAAATATCGAACTCAACAGGAACATCAACGTGAAAACTTGGAGCAAGAAACTTTGCTTTGCATTGCACTAGAATTTAAAACAAAAAGGTCTTTGTTAAGTTGATAAGACTGTGAAGCTGGAAAACTGAACTCCACCATAAACTCCCACACCTTGTACATGACACATCTACACAGAACAATCTTTTAGTTCCACCTATTCATAAATATACCAAGGTTAAAATACTGCCCTCCCACATGAAGCTAGGTAATACTCGGGACATACACCGGGCTTTGGGAGACACAATGGGACAGAAGTTCAGCAGAAAACAGCACACTTTCACTGCAATTATGCAGCTGCTAATGCCTCCCCCATATTCCCTTGTATTTGTGGGGTTTAAGCTAGTACATATCCTTGTTTCCGTCCCTGGGGAGTTCTGTTTCAGAGGTTGTAGGACTCATGAATGAAATTGTTTTTAATTATTTACTTTATTAATGTAACTTCATAAGTAAAGTTTTATGAATGAAAC